GATGTAGAAGAAATCATCCACTGCTCATTAAGTGTTACATTATGTTTCCGATACAGCTCTGTATTAATCAGATATCTGATTGCACTGGCAATTTTGGAGGGCCTAATGGTTTCAGCCATAAAATTATGACTGTATTCCATTCTTCGTTTGAGGTGGAGCTGAACAACCTCTGCTTCGTGAAAAGCTCGTGGAAGAGAAGTAACCACGTTTGAAACTGGAATTGGGACATTAACCACAGCTCCTTTTAGACCACTTTCAATTGTAAAAACTCTGACCTGCATATCCTCTTCTAAAACATTTGCTCTTTCCTTCCTATTGCGAATTGCATTTCGTCGGTTTTCTGCTACTCTATTTTGGCTAAGGCTTCTATGCTGTCTAACTCTCTGAGTCAAATTCCTTGTAGCGTCAAACGATTCCTGTCTTGCTAATATTCTAGCTCTTTGTCTTTCTGTAGTGTTGCGAACTTGCTCAACGTTCCTATAAATTAGATTCACTCTTGCCTGAGACCGACGGAGAGTATTAGCTGTCTGCTCCTGTTCCCTTATTTCTACATTTTGCCGACGAATTGATCGCCGCAAAGAGTCGGCAGACTGCTCCTGTTCCCTATACTGTAAGTCCTGCCTACGTTGCGAGTGTTGTCGAGTATTAGCTGCCTGCTCCTGTTCCCTTATCTCTACATTTTGCCGACGAATTGATCGCCGCAAAGAGTCGGCAGACTGCTCCTGTTCCCTATACTCTGAGTCCTGCCTACGTGTTGAATGTTGTTGAGTATTAGCTGCCTGCTCCTGTTCCCTTATTTCTACATTTTGCCGACGAATTGATCGCCGCAGAGAGTCGGCAGACTGCTCCTGTTCCCTATACTCTGAGTCCTGCCTACGTGTTGAATGTTGTTGAGTATTAGCTGCCTGCTCCTGTTCCCTTATCTCTACATTTTGCGACGAATTGATCGCCGCAAAGAGTCGGCAGCCTGTTCCTGTTCCCTTATTTCTACATTTTCCCTGCGAATTCTATGAGCTTCAATATTATATTCCCTCTCCCGCTGACTATATTCCGAATTAGTCCTATTTACTTGGTTTCTCGCTCTTTGTCTTTCCGACCTAGCAGCAGCCGATTGACTTTTCAAACGAGGCATAATTATAAAACTTAATGAAATTTTAAAAGTTAAATAAAAAACTAATATTTGCAAAATATAAAAAAGTAAAAAAAAAATTAGCACAATATAAACAGAGTCTTAAAAAAGACTATTTATGCTTAAGGCAGAATTTGAGAAACACAAAAAATATGTTGAAGACGAAATAAGAAAGTCTTGATAAAGACTATTTTACGACAAAAAAATATAAAAATGAAAAGGTAAACTCACTTCTTGTAAGTGCCGAAGGCAAAAAATACACATACTTATACATATATTTCTAAAAATATGCACTTTATACTTTAAACACTACTAACCACTCACAAAATTAAATTTACCCGTTTTAAATTGTAAAACCGCACCACATTCACAACCGCACAGAAGTTAATGCAAAATGCAACTAAACCCATCAAATTTTGTGGTACGCTTGTCGACTTCATTTTTTAGTGCAATACAGTCCTTTTGTGACCTGGCCTATTTGATTGAGTTTTTTGGGATCACATGGGTTCATACCTGCAGGTCAACGGTTAAAAAGGATGCGTTGGCAGTTTATTTGCCGGTATTTCATCAACAGGTAATTTTTAGGATATTATCATAACATTCATATAAGTATTCATACACTAGGCATTTATTTTTGTGTGAATGAAAAAGTATATACTATTGCATTAGTAGAAAAATAAATCACTGCTTCAGTTTGTTATGCGTATCGTTTATAACTTTTCTTAAAATTGATCGAAGAAAACAAAATAGATAATTATGTTGATTATGTATGCAAAGTTTAATTTATGTAGCTTTTGAAATGAGGACAGTATTGACGAAATTCTGTAGCGGGGGGAGGGGGGAGGAAATAAAAAAAGACAAACCGGACAAACCGGAGTGAAAATGTTTCGCTAATAACTTTTCTTAGAATTAACCGAATTGGATCAAATTTAAACCAAAAGTAGATAACTGTATATAGATTGCGTGATAGATTTGGCCTATGTAGTTTTTGAAATGTGGACAGTATTGACGAAATTCTGTAGCGGAATTCCCAAAAATAAAATAAACTCGTCCTTTCTCGGACCTAGGAGAATCTGGATACCAACTTTGGTTATTCCAGATATTATAGTTTCTGAGATCCTTGCGTTCATCCAGACGGACATGTCTAGATCGATTTCTCTCGTCATGCTGATCAAGAATATATATACTTTATGGGGTCGGAGATGCTTCCTTCTGTATGTTACATGCTTTGCACAAACCTAATATACCCTTTTTACCCTACGGGTACAGGGTATAAAAATTATGAAACTTGGCATGCGGACACATAATTACGAACGCGATTCAAAAATCCAGAATTCTTTGCATATCCGATAAGTTTACGCACATAAAAATTGTTTGGGAAATTATTATTACATATTGTAACCTTTAAGACTACAAAAAGAAATGAAAGAACGAATTTGAATTATCTTTTTCTAAAAGTAGTATGTGCTTTAATATATGTACATTGTAACGACGCGTTGCACAGCAACCAGCTGTGCGTCATTACGATGCCAAGTAGTTGTAAATTAATAAGTAATTGTAAGAATAGTAAGCCATGAAGGCGAGTAATTTTAAGTTCATATCAGAGAACTGCAACGAGTACTACATTTTCGGTCATACTCGAGTATTTACCCATACTCGGTATGATTATTTCATTTGGGTATAGTGACAAGCAATGACTGGTTGCGAATGAGCCCTCAACGAACACTCAGTTCGAATCAAAACTGCAAAAATTCAGAATGAGCGGCGGTGACCGAAACTTTTTGCCTGCGTGCAAGAAATGATCGAACGTCGTATGTATACATACATACATATATTTATTTTTATACCCTGTACCCAAAGGGTGAAAGGGTATACTAGTTTTGTGCGAATGTATATAATGTATATATATATTTTATCAGGCATGTCCGTCCGTCTGTCCGTCTGGATGAAAGCGAGGATCTCAGAAACTATAAAAGCTAGACTAACCAGATTCTCCTAGATCCGAGTAAGGACGAGTTTATTTATTTTTTTTTTAATTTACCCCCCCCCCCCCCACCCCCCCCCCCCTTCCATAGCTGCAGAATTTCGTCAATAGCGTCCACATTTCAAATGCTACCTAAACCAAACTTTGCACACATAATTTATAAATAATTATAAATTATAAATAAAATTTTATTCAATTCCGTCAATTCTAAGAAAAGTTATTAGGGAAACAAATTCTCGCCAGTACAACCCCCCCAAACTGCAGCAACAAGTTCGCTCTTCTTCTTCCTCTTTTTGTTGCTGCTTTGGGCGCATATAACTCAGTTTACCTGGGTATAGGGTATTACACTGTCGGGCTTGCTCGGCTGTAGCGTTCTCTCTTGTTTTTATTTTGTAGTAAAATTTTTTTTTTTTTTTGCCTTTATATTTAGTAGTAGATTTGGTTTTACATTTAGTAGTAGAATCTATGGTTACTCTACATGAAATGTACAAGAGTATATTAGGTTTGCGGGAGCTGAAAAATGTAACAGGCAGAAGGAGGCGTGGCAGACCCCACAAAGTATATATATTCTTGATCAGCATGACGAGACGAGCCGATCTAGCCCTGTCTGTCTGTCTGTCTGTCTGTCCGACTGTCCGACTGTCCGTCTGTCCGTCCGTATGAACACCTGGATCTCAGAGACTATAAGAGATAGAGACACCAAATTTTGCACAAAGATGCCTTATGTGTGTACGCTATACGAGTTTGTTTTATTTTATTGATTTTCTCTAACTCCCGTAATTCTTGGAATTTCGAACTAAAATTTTGCAAATACCCCTAGTTAGTTATTATGTGTCCGTATGCTATGATAGACCGATTTAACAAGAAGTTATAGCCATAAATATATTTGCTGCTGCAGCGCTGCTCAAGCGCTGCCCGCGGCTGTTGTTGATGTTGCTGTTTGGTTGACTGCGAAAATGCTTACACATACACGAATTGATGCGCATAGGCATACATACACTCACACAGACGCAATTGCTATGTAAATGTGCAATTATACGTGAGTTCGAATACCGAGAGAGGTAAAATCGATCAAATTTTTTTTTTTATTTTCTTAATTTTTTTATTTTCTATAATTATTGTAAACATATGTACAGAGTATTTCAAAGTCGGGACACCCGACTTTAGCTTTTTTACTTGTTTAAATTTAAATATGTATTTTGTATGTATAAATATGTATACTTAGGTGTGGTCATCAATTATTATTCCGTCCGGCGTCGTGTATTCGTCTCCACATTCCTTAGTCTCGTGTCATTAGAATTTGGAAATGCAACATTCATTGTTGAAGGTGTTAAAAATGTATTGATACTTAATAAATTAGATATAAAAAACCTAATAGGTATTGGAACTGATAACGCTAACGTTATGGTAGGCAGGAACAAAAGTGTCTACACAGAACTAAAAAAGGAAGCACCAGCACTTATATTAATAAAATGTGTCTGCCATTCTGTGCAGCTTGCTGTTAGTGAAGTTTGCAAACAAGATATGCCAGATAATTTGGAATTTTTAATTTACGAAACCTTTAATTGGTTTTAAAAAAGTTCATCTCGCCAAACTGAATATAAAAAAATTTATAAATGTATAAACGATGATAAGGTATGTGAGTTGCTTTCCCATGTTGTATGTTATTGAATTTATGTTTTAACATATGTACTTACGTAAGTGTGAGTACTGTACATTAAAAGTGCTCTGTTTATTTGATCGATTAATACTATTATTGTGCAAATTATATTTATGTGTGTATTGTCTTTCATGACGTTGTAGATTTTCAAAGTCCTCGTATGTACTTGTTTCAGTAAAATTTTTGTTCCCTAAATTATAACTATTTTTTATTTTATATTACACAAGGCCCCATAGAAAATTCCGAAAGTGAGTGACACAAGATGGCTCTCAATAGAATTGGCAGTATCTCGTATATTGGAACAGTGGGAAGAACTAAAGTTGCATTTTGGATTAGCAGCAACGAAAGAAAAATGCTTTAAAGCTCAAATGTTAAATCAAATGTATAGTGATGAAACTAATCATTTATATTTAATTTTTTTGAAACCTATATTATCCGATTTGCAAAAAGTTAATAAGTGTTTTCAAAGCAACAACACCAATGCAACAGAATTGCTTAACGATTTAATTTTTGCAATAAATTCGTTGAAAAATGCAATCATTCCTTCTGAAACGGAAATTAATATTTTCGAAACGGACGACATTGAAAAACATGCGGATAGGAATCTTTATAAAGGATACGACTTTGAAAAAAAGATTAAAATTCTAAATATTAGCTCTAATGTTGAAGAAATGCTTCGTGACCGCTGCACAAATTTCGTGATTGAGCTGATTAAACAATTAAAACAGAGGTAAGCAATATTGTGTTATTCTTTGGAGGCGATTAAATAATTTGATTATAAATTTCAGACTACCAGATAATTTTGAAACTTTAAAGCAGGTTGACGTTTTTTCTGTCGACAAAATATTGTGCGCTAAGAAAAAAGGGATAAGCGAAATTTTGGAGTACCTGAAAGTAGAAAACATTTCTGAAATTGAACGCCAATATAGCGATATTCATTTGATTAAATGGGAAAATACCAGCAACACGTCAAAGTTTTGGACAGAGGTTTTCTGTTACAAAGATTCTGGTGGCAACCGCAGATTTCTTGAGCTAGCAGCTATTGCCATTCAAATGCTGTCATTGCCGTGGTCAAATGCGGAAATTGAGCGCGTGTTTAGCCAGGTTAATCTGATCAAGTCAAAACTGAGGAATTCCATTAACCTGATCACACTCAACAGTATTTTACTCATAAGGTAAAGTTTTATTGTGAGTGAAAGGATATTACTAATTTTAATGTGTATATACAGGTATGGCTTGCGAAGACTTGGGAAATGCTGCTTTGACTACGAAGTGCCTAATAATTATTTACGCATGATTGGTACGTCCATGTCGTACGATTGCGAATCTGAAGTAAATCCCGCAGAACTTGATGAGATAATGGAGTTAATGTAAAAAACATATTAAATATTAACTTAGAAAAAAATAAATTGGTAAAACCATAAAAACGCTTTTTTTAGCCTTATTTCGGAAATTTTTCCGCTTTTTTTGCCCTTGCTTCTAGTTAGAAACAGCTTTTTTTTGTTAAAAAAATGGCAGCACTGCTACTAGCCACTAGGAATATGAAAATATGTTTGAAAAGTCAAAAGAAGAATTAATAAACATTCTGAATAATGAAAAAGTGCTGTTTGATCAAACTGCAACAATTCACCAATTAAGAATGGCAGTAAACAAAATTATGAACAGAAAGGTGAAACAGTGTGGAAGCGGCCAACATAACGGAGTTTGTTAATATGCAAGTCGAAGACTCCGTTAAGAAGCATCTAGAAGCGGACATAGGCGAAAACAGTGACGAAACTGGCATGATGTCGCCGGAATGTAGCGGTGAATTTCAAGGTGAAACGTTGCGTGCTACTGATGAAACTAATGTGGTGTCAGCCGAAAATATGTCTGCACCGTTAGTACAAATATTCTTGGAAGCAGACGAGGAAAACAATGTGTTGGTGGATGAATATTCACAAGAAATTTTGCATTTGCGTCGTCAGGAAGAGTTGTATGCAGCTAGACTAAGACACTTCGATGTACCAGAAAATCAACAGTGGACCTATGCTAAACGACTACTGCGTGGCTCAGCCAAGGATTACATTAATTATAAAGGCTTCTTAACATGGAAACAGGTACGAGGTGAGCTGCTCAAGATGTTTGAAATAAAGGTGACGCCATAGGATGTTGGCAAACAACTGGAAAACCGAAAGCAGACCGAAAAGGAGACGCCATTGCAATACTTCATAGCGATGTGTAATATTGCACGTCAAGCCAAGCTGGAAACTACCGATGTCATCCAATTTATTGTGAGAGGACTGCAAGATAAGACTGGTAGAGCAGAACCCCTTATGTATTCGAAATCCCTGGATGAACTACGTGAGAACATCATGGTGTACGAGAAGGTAAAGTCACATAATTCGTAAATAACAAGAACAGTGGGAATTTCCAATAGCAACAGGCCCAGCACTAGCAGTAAGGCAGGGCAACAAGAAGAGAATATTCGCTATTATAATTGACGCCAGTTTGGCCACATGATGAAACAGTGCGAAAAACCAAAAAGACCAGATAATGCTTGTTTTTATTGCTGGAGTACAGAGCACAAATATAACGAATGCCCAAAGAGGAAATTCGTTACCGTAGCAGGCACCACTCAGGATAATCAAAAGGAATCAAGAGATGAAGCTATGAACTATTTGCAAAATTTATGAATTCCATGTGGTGAAAAGAGGTCAAGGCAATTTTCAGTGTTACTAGATTCTGGAAGCCCAGTTAGTTTTATAAGAATTTCATTAATACCGAAATATGTTAAAATTAAAAAACCCAAATTTGAATATTATGCAATGGGATATTACCCTATAGAAACGATGGGTAAAATAAAATGTTTAGTTTCGTTTGCAGGAAATTTATATTATGTTTGGTTATATATTATAAAAGATGAACTTTTGCCTACACCTATATTATTTGGACGCGATTCATTGAAGAATCTAAATATTTGTTTGGTTTATAAAGAAATCCTTATTAATAAAAGTAACTTCTCAAATACAAAGACAGATGCATCTCTTTTCACCACGGATCAATTGAACAACGGGCATTTAAATACTACAGATTTATTAGAAAAAGAACATTGGTCTTGAGTTTGGTAAAGGAATAAGAGACAAATGTTATAAACTATTGAAATCTAAATATCTAGAAAAAAACCATGACTATACTAAGAATCCTAGTTATCATATGACAATCCGATTAACTGATGACTCCCCATTTCATTGTTCACCTCGCCGATTGTCATATTATGAGAAAGAAAAAGTCGCTGAAATAATAGAAGAGTTACTCGAAAAGAAAGTTATACGCCATAGTCAATCAGCATATGCCTCACCAATAGTTTTGGTTAGAAAAAAATCAGGCGACATTCGAATGTGTGTTGACTATAGAGGTTTAAATAAACGTATTGTGAAGGATAATTTTCCGCTCCCATTAGTGGAAGACTGTTTAGATTACTTGGAGGGTAAGTGTTGTTTTTCCGTTACAGATTTGAAAAGCGGGTTCCATCAAATAGGAGTGGAGGAAAGTTCAACCCAGTATACTTCATTTGTGACCCCTCGAGGTCAATATGAATATCTTAGGATGCCCTTTGGTCTAAAGAATGGGCCGGCAATATTTCAACGATTTATTTTTGATACACTTAGAGACCTTATTAGAAATAAAAGTATTGTGGTATATATGGACGACATAGTAGTGGCAACAAAAACTGTAGAGGAGCACTTAGAGATTTTAGGTAAATTGTTAGAACGCATTTCTGAAAATAGCCTAGAGATTAATATACAAAAATGTATGTTTCTGCAAACTACATGTGAATTCTTAGGATACAAAATAAGCCAACAAGGTATAACACCTAGTGAGTCACATATAGCAGCTTTGAAAGTATACCCGATACCGACAAACCTTAATGGTTTACACTCTTGCTTAGGATTCTTTTCCTATTTTCGTAGATTTGTATTATCGTTCGCTTTAATAGCAAGGCCGTTAACAGAATTATTGAAACAAGGAGGACCATTCCCATTAAATGAAGAGCAAGTGCAGGCATTTAATACATTAAAGTTAGCCCTTGTGAGTCCTCCGGTGTTGGCAATTTATAGCCCTCAAAAGGAAACTGAGTTACACACAGATGCTAGCTCTCATGGATTTGGAGCCATATTAATGCAAAGGCAAGAGGACGGAAAGATGCATCCAGTAGCATTTTACTCCGGAAAAACCACAGCTGCCGAGTCCCGGTACCATAGCTTTGAATTAGAGACTTTAGCCATTATTTATGCGTTACGCCGGTTTAGGGTCTATCTAGAGCACAGACCCATAAAAATAGTGACCGATTGTAATTCTTTAGTACAAACCCTAAGCAGAAAGGCAATTAATCCGAGTATAGCACGTTGGTCTTTGGAGTTAGAAAATTATGATTATACTGTAGTCCATAGACCAGGTGCAAGTATGGCCCATGTAGATGCTTTAAGTAGACAGAGCCAATTTTTAAGTTTTATTAAAGACAAGGAGAAAGTCCAAAAAGAGGATCCATTTGTAAATTGTGATTGTAGAAAAGAAAATGGCGTAGAGAATAATTATAGAAACATAGAGATCCATAGAAAAACTAGTGTATTAGAGAACCCTAGAGAGTCTAGAGACAGAAAAGAAAACCTTAGAGAGAATAGAGATGACCCTATAGAGCAGATTAAAGAAGCTGGGGGAGGGGTTAATAGGAATCAAATTAGAACTCAACAAGAGTGCGATACTGAAATCAAAGACACATTCGAATTTATGGAAAGAAGAAACGTAAGTTCATTACCAGTCGTTGCTGTAGTAGGAGCTACTTCTGAAGATATAGACTTTATATTACAAACAGAACAGATGCGTGACGAAGAAATAAATAGAATTCGTGATAAACTAGGGACAGGAGAAGTGAAAGGGTTTGAATTGTTGGATGGCGCAGTGTATAGGAAAAGTAAAGATGAGAACTTTAAGTTGTATGCTCCTGTATGTATGGAAGAACAATTAATTAGGAAAACTCATGAGAAGTTAGGACATATGGGTACTGAAAAATGTGTAAATGATTTGATGAAGTCTTACTGGTTTCCATCCATGCGCAGTAAGGTAGAGAGCTTTATCAGAAACTGCTTGCCGTGTATATTACATTCAGTTCCGAAAACAATACACAATCGTACTTTGCACAGCATACCAAAACCGTCAATACCGTTCCATACCATTCATATAGATCATCTAGGCCCACTACCAAGTATAACGTCTAAGAGGAAGCACCTCTTAGTGGTTATTGATGCCTTTACAAAGTTCGTCAAGCTGTT